GGAATTCAAGTATGAGTTTATTTTCGGGCCAGAAAATTAAAATTCATGAATAACTTTTTCATAATATGCTATTTCTATGGACTTTTTATTTTTGAGAGAGATATTTTTGTTATAAGGCTCGTGTACTCATCAGAGACAGAAAGACAAAGAGACAGAAAGTGAGAAGTCACCCCCCAGAGGGGATGGCCACACAACAATTTCTTCTCCTCCATTCTCCTCTCAGGATTTTGGGCACACATTCACGTGCACTCAGTGTGAGTTTTAAGCTGCCCTGTCTGGGACGCAAACCATGGTCAACTGTGTGAGAGTCCAGCGACGTAACCATTATGACATCTGCTGGTCCCTCTGTGGACTTATTGAAGACCCTTCGTATTTTAATATGATTGAATGTTTTTCTGTGCCAAGAAAGAGAGCGATGCCAAGAGGCCTGGAATGAAAAATGTAGTCAAGAAAAATTTAATCTAATCCTCACAGCTGCGCTATTGTAAACTCTTGCTAGACTAAAACATTGCTCCATAATCAAGGTTATACATAAATAGAGCAAGTTTGCATCACTTAAACTTTCTACCCGAACTAAAGATCAGAAAGTCCTCTTAGAAACTGATTTATACCTCTTTCCTATAGGAACCTCCTCCATTTTAGGGTGGACTAAGCTTCCTAGAGTTTAATATCTACTCTGCTTTTTGAACTCAGCTGACTTCTCACTGTTAGGTTTCTCAAGATGGTAATTCTTTGTGCTGTTTACCAAATAGTCTAGAGACAGAATCTGCTCTCTGGAGTTATGGTAAGATTTTCCTCCCTACTTCCTTTGGAGCTAGACATGACCATGTGACTTGTTTTGGCCAATGAAATGGAGTAGAAATAATGTCTGTCCCCTGAAGGGAGGGAAGGCAACTGTAGGATCCAGTGTGTAAAGTCACTGTGTTTTCTTTTCCCTATCATAGCATTAGGAAAGCATTTATTAAGAAGGCAACTTTTATTGATAAAGTTGTGTGCATATTAGTTAGGATTAAGTTCAACCTAGTGTAACAGAAAAACTCAAGGCAGTTAGGGGGCTGGACAGTGGCTCAGCACAAAAACCTGATTCTCTGTGAGGCAATCACACATGGGAAGGTCCGCAGCTAAGCCCGGAGACCTCCTTGAATACAGTGGTTTGTGGTTGCCCTTGATCTGATCTGGCTTAAGACTGGGTGTGAATTGCAGCATCAGGACCCTATTTGGGATTCTCTTCACACTTGCCCTCCCACCCCCCTTTCATAGAAGAAGAAAAAGTAAAACTTTGGAAAAAGGGGAAAGCACAGATTAAGTCTGGGGTGAGTATGGCAGTTATAATCCATGAAGGCTGCAAGAATCAGGCTCTTTCTAGCTTATTTGGCACCTGTCCCTAGAATGTGACCGTCATTCTCATGATCTGAGATGGCTGCCAGAATTCTGACACCATTTTCATGTTCTAGAAAGAAAGAGTGAGGGATAAAAGAAAGAGACAACAGACGAAGGATAGCAGCTATCTTTTTTTTTTTTTTTGAGAGATTTTCACTGTAGGGCGCGTGCGCTCCCCAGACAGAGAGAGACATAGAGACAGAGAGCGAGAAATCACCCCCCAGGGGGGATGGTCACGCCGCAATCCCTTCTCCTCCATTCTCCTCTCGGGATCTTGGGCATGCACGCACACGCGCCCGGTGTGAGTTTTAAGCCACCGGGTCCGGGACACGAACCGCGGTCGACTACGTGGGAGTCCAGCGACATAGCCATTACGCTAACTGCTGGTTCCCCCAACAGCTATCTTTTAAAGTAGTTTTCGGGAAGCTGACACACAAAACCAGCACTTATATATATGTAACATCCCAGAGCCCAGTTACATGGACACAGCCAGTTGCAAAGGTGGCTGGGAAATCTATCTTTTATTCAGAGCACCTTTGTGCCCAGCTAAAACTTGGGGACTCTATTGCTATTCAAGAAGGGGAGACTAGATGTGTGGAAGGTGGAGGTGGAGGTGACTAGGAGGCTCTGCCACAGTGACCATATAGCCCAAGGTTGGACAATTATGATGGCCAATCCCCTCAACAACAATGCTAGGTTAAGGGGTGGGCATTTAGCTCATGTCTGCTTTAGTGGAGTCCTATAAGGTGGTGGTGGTTGAGATATATATTCATATCTTTTTTTTTTTTCAACTTGAGCTTGTGGGGAAGTCTGTCTTTCTCAGGTCACAAATCTGAAGATAGAGATTAAACGTAGTATGCAAAGAGAAGCACAAGTGAGAGAAAAGTTGAAGACCTAAGTAGTTCCTATTTTCCTTTTCCAAGCCTTTTCGAGACCAGCTCCACCCTCTGCCTTTTCCCTAGTTTAATTATGTAAGCCAAGAAATCCCTTTGTGTTTAAATAAGAAGTTGGGTGCTGACTGCTTGCAACCAGAGTCCTAAGGCAATGGTCTACCTTCTTGGGTTTTGTAGAGAACACATGAAGTAGTACACAGAGCAGTTGCCATGGTGCCTTGCACGTAAAGGTCCTGCAATGTTCGCTCTTAATGAAGTGTTTTAAATAACACAGAGTAGATGAAATTTGGGGAAAAGAACCAAAACTTTCTCAAGTTCCTGTCCAAATGAGGTCGTATTCATTCCCCAGGAAGAATTATTGGGTCGTTGGGAAAGTCATGACACATTTTTGCATAGAAAAGCATAGAAAAAATATGTGATGACTTTCTGGACAACCTGATAGATCTTGCTCCTCCTAGTTTTGTCTTCATTCTGACCATCCTGCTTTTTATTTGCAATTCTAGGCTGTCTTTGGATATCGTTTGAACTCCTGACCCCTGAAACAATCTTACTCACCTTTAAGTCCTCAATATCTAACGTCCTGGCAGACAGTATTAATACATGGCTAATACACATTGTTATTAGGTCACTGGGAAAGTCGTGATGCTTTTTTGTAAAGAAAAACATAGAAACATACGTCCTGACTTTCCTGACGACTTAATACATGAATAAAGATTTGGAGAACATTCATGATTAAAGATGGCAGTAAAAGCAACCAGCATTTAGTAAGTAAATGCTGTGTTCTAAGCACTCTCCTATGAATGTTACTTTTTAAATGATTTAGTCCTTGCAATCATCCTTAATATGCTCTCAATGTTATTCCAATAATATTTAATAATCTAACAATTAAAAAGCCCTTAATATGCTATCAATATTTTGATGATTTTAATGATTTAATCATTTGCTAGCCCTTACTATGCTATCAATATTATTATCACTACTATTTAATGATTTAATCCTTGCAATAGCCCTTCGTGTGCTAACAATATTATTTTCAACATGAGCAAACTAATGTCAGTGTCATGCAACTCGTAAGTGGGACAGCCGAAATTTCATACCAGGAAGACTGGTGCTAGAAATGTAACAGTTCAATCAAGGCACTGTGATAACGCCCATTAAAAGTATTTGATAAGGGACCAGCAGTTAGCATAATGGCTATGTTGCTGGACTCCCACGTAGTCAAGCGTGGTTCGAGTCCCGGACCCGATGGCAAACTCACGCCGGGCGCGTGTGCGTGCGTGCCCAAGATCCTGAGAGGAGAATGGAGAAGAAGGGATTGCGGCATGGCCATCCCCCCTGGGGGGGGGGTGATTTCTCACTTTCTTTTTTTTTTTTTCTCTCTGTCTGGCGAGTGCACGCGCCCTATAGCAAAAACCTCTCCAAAAAGAAAAAAAAAAGAAAAAGTATTTGATAAAATACAGATGGAATTAAATAATTTGATATTAGAGACACAAGAAATGATAAGATCACTGAATCCCATCATGAAATAGATGCAACAACTGAGCCAAGGCTCCTGACTCCTAACCGGAATCTTTTAACCAAGGACCTCACGTCTCATGTAAAATGTGCTCCTTCTACACATTTTGCACCATCCCCTCTGGAGTCTGACTTTGAAAAAACAACTCCAGATAGTAACTTGTGTTTCAAAGTGGATGTAGTCACGGTAGAGCACAAAGCCAGGTGGAGATCCCCTGCTTAAATAGCCCAAGCTAGGGCCAGCAGGTGGTGTGGTGTTTAAGGTGCTAGATCCCGTGGGGCTGACTTGGCAGTTGGAAACTCAGACCCAGCATCTTGAGAATCACGCTGGATGCATGTGTGTCCATGCCTAAAAATCTCAAGATAAGACGGGAAAAGGGATTGCACCATGACCATCGCCCAGGGGGTGATTTCTCACCTTCACCCTTCCTATCTCTCCAGCATGCACATATGCCCTATGGAAGAAATCTAAACAAACAACCAAAAAAAAGAGAGAGAGAGAGAAACAAAAAGAAAAATAAATAGACCGAGCATACACAAGTGGGATGGGAGAAATATTTGAGATTTCAGCATGCACAGCACGTCTTCAGAGAGTTCTCTGATTGTGCAAGGTCAAGTCTGTCTAGCTAAAGTCCGCTTTAGGGCTCTTACCACGGTTGTGAGTCTATGTGTATTTTGAATGTCAATCTGGTTCACAGTCACCTTGTCATCCTCTGAGTTCCAGGAGGACAGAATCCACGTCAATTTTTGTTCCTTTTATATTTTCGGTGCCTAGCATAAACGCTGGCCACATAATGGGCACTCAGAAAATATGGGGTAAATGAGCAGATAAATATGCATGAGGAGGGACCTGTACTGTGCACAGGGGTAGACAGCACCCCCTATAGTGTGACCTCAGGGGGACCTCAAGAGTGCACGCGCACACGGTAAATGAATGAGACAATGAGCAGATAAATATGCTGTGCACAGGGGTAGACAGCACCCCCTATAGTGTGACCTCAGGGGGACCTCAAGAGTGCACGCGCACACACACCACTGATCGGAATCTCCTTCAGGAAAGTCAAGCATCATTCCAGGGAGACTTTAGGGCACCTTGGGGAGAAAAAGGAACACAAAAGGTGAGCAAGCAGTTTTCAAAGGATGCTTTCAGCTCCGGGGCCAGTCCTCCTGTGTGTTTTCTTCCCCAGTGTTTCCAATTACTGTGGCACTCTCGGTATCTGGATCCATCTCCAGTGAATTCCTCTGCAGCCCCTGCCAGACATATGGGATCAATCACGGCTCCGGCGCTGGTGCGCTTGCTGCGGGGATGTTGACAGCCTGACAGACGCGGGGTTCTGGTGTCATGGAATCTCCGCGTCTTTGGCTGGATCCCGGCAGGAGAACGAGAGGGGGAGGAGAGAGATAGAGGCAGAGATAGAGGAAGGAGAGAAGAGAGGCGAGAGGGAGAGACGGAGAGAGGAGGGAGAGAAGGAGGGAAGCGGGAGATTTTTCTTGACTGCCCCCTTTCCTTCAAGCATTTTATAGGCTTCAGGGCGAGAGAGGAGGAGAAAGGGAGGAAAAAAAAGAGGAGAGCCAGAGGGTAGCGCGCGCGACTCTCTCCCGGAGCCCCCGAGCTGCCGGAGGGGTCTGGATTGTGTCCCCGGTGTCAGATGAAAGGGCGCTGAGGCTCACGGCCGCTGCCCCGCGTTCCGCTGGGCGCACGCCCCTCGGCGATCCCGAGCCCCGCCGCCCCGCGCCTCTCCCGGCCGGGGCCGCCGCCTGCGCTCAGGGGCGGCCACTCGGTCTCCAGCGCAATGTGGCCGCGCCTGGCCTTTTGTTGCTGGGGTCTGACGCTCGTTTCGGGCTGGGCGACCTTTCAGCAGATGTCCCCGTCGCCCAATTTCAGCTTCCGCCTCTTCCCCGAGGCCGCGCCGGGGAAGCTGCCCGCGCTGCCCACGCCGGGCGAGGACGCGGCGGAGAGCAAAGTGGAGCGGCTGGGCCAGGCGTTCCGGCGACGCGTGCGGCGGCTGCGGGAGCTCAGCGAGCGCCTGTCTTCCTGGTGGACGAGTCGTCCAGCGTGGGCCAAGCCAACTTCCTCAGCGAACTCAAGTTCGTCCGCAAGCTGCTGTCGGACTTCCCCGTGGTGCCCACGGCCACGCGCGTGGCCATCGTGACCTTCTCGTCCAAGAACAACGTGGTGCCGCGCGTGGATTACATCTCCTCCCGCCGCGCGCACCAGCACAAGTGCGCGCTGCTCAGCCGCGAGATCCCGGCCATCACCTACCGCGGAGGCGGCACCTACACCAAGGGCGCCTTCCAGCAAGCCGCGGTAAGGTGCCCACCCCGGCGGGCCCCGACCCCAACCTGGCCCCTCACCTCGCCCCCCAGCACCTTCCCACCCACCACTGCCTGTCGTTCTCTAACCCGATCGGGTCGTAAGTAAGGCATAAACCTCCCCCAGTGGAGCATCTTCACCCACAAAATCAGAATCACCGCCACCCTGTCATTGCCATAGGGGTCCAATGGGATTCATGGATTTTAAAGGCTTCACTAGATGTCAGGCTGCTTAAATGGTCCGCTAGAGGACCTCGTTGGGAAGGGGGTCCTTAAGTTGCTACTGAACTTCATTCTTGCAGGATCAGCGGTAACCACGCTGGGACAGGTGAGTGTGTTTTATGTAGTGTTTCTAGAGGTATAGGACGCCGAGTGATCTGGATATTTCCCCTGATTCTTTTTAAGCAATTTTATTCTTTCAATAGAAAGTAACTGTTCTTCCTATTTTTTTTCTTGAATCTTTTATAACATTTTTAGTATCTGGAAGAAGCAGTTATGGATGAGGGACTTTTACAAAATGTATCTCTTTTTCTGGTTACAAAGTAATGTGTATTGGTTGAAGAAAACTGGTAACACAAAGTAGAATGTGTCACATCATAGCCGGCCAGTGTTTGTGGAGTGAATGAAACAAGGAGGAAAAGAGCCTGTCACCCTTAAAAAGCCACGGTTTACATGCTGTAGAACACGTGTCAAATGTGCACCTCCATACATGCTGTTAACCAAATTGATAGCTTGCTGTTTTTGTAGCCTCTGTTTTCCATTCGTCATATCATAATTAAAAGGTTCTGGGAACCAGCAGTTAGCGTAATGGCTATGTCGCTGAACGCCCACACCGCGGTTCGCATCCCGGACCCAGAGGTTTAAAACTCACGCCGGGCACGTGTGCGTGCGTGCCCAAGATCCCGAGAGGAGAATGGAGGAGAAGGGATTGCAGCATGGCCATCCCTCCTGGGGGGTGATTTCTCGCTTTCTGTCTCTACGTCTGTCTCTGTCTGGCAAGCACACGCGCCCTATAGCGAAAACCTCAAAAAAAAAAAAAAAAGGTTCTACCTTAGCTGCGTACTATTCCATTGCATGCAAATGTCATAGTTTATGCATCACCTGTTGTTGGACACTAGTTTTTTTATCTTAAGTAAGTTATAGCGAACACAAGTATTTGTACACCTTTCCAATTATTTCTTCACAAAGATTTCTATAGAAGTTCCTGAATGAGTGATTATGAACATTTACAAAGTTCTTGACATATCTTGTCCATTTCTCCATTGAAGGGTTTATCCTCTTACATTACCACCAGCAGAGTATCACAGTAGTAAGTTTGCAGCGTGCTCAGCAATGTCACATACTATTATGTTTAATATCTTTGCCAATTTGATGTGAGTAGAGATACTGCTTAGCAAATTCAAAATTTTCATTATTGAGGATGAACATTTTCCAGTGTATGTATTAGCTATTTATATTTTTCATCCGACAATTACTTGCTTATAATTTTTGCCCATTTTGCCAGTAGCCAAACAAGCATGTCTGCTTTTTTTTTTTCTTAATTTGTAAAAGCTCTTTATATAGCAAAGCCATTTTGCACTTGCTGTAAATGTTTTTCCAGTTGACTTTTGTTTTGAAAGTGTTGTTAGAGGGATGATTTAAAATTGTATATACTCAACTCTATCAAACAATGTTGCTAAGATCCTGTATTTGCTTTATAGTCTCAGAATGGTCTCATTTTCCAAATCAGAGAAATCATTTTCCACGTAACAATGTCATCCATTTGGGACCAGCAGTTAGCGTAATGGCTATGTCGCTGGACTCCCATGTAGTTGACCGCAGTTCTAGTCTCAGAGCCCGTGGCTTAAAACACGCCGGGCGCGTGTGCATGCGTGCCCAAGATCCCAAGAGGAGAATGGAGGAGAAGGGATTGCGACGTGGCCATCCCCCCAGGGGGTAATTTCTCGCTTTCTGTCTCTCTGTCTCTCTCTGTCTGTCTGGCGAGCGCACATGCCCTGTAGCAAAAACCTCTAAAAAAGAAAAAAAAAAAAAAGAACAATGTCATCCATTTAAGATTTATTTTGGTGTGTGATGTGACGATGTAACAGTATAACCCATCTGAAACTTGTTTTGGTGTGTGGTATGCGAAGATGTCTAATTTGTTAATAAATATTTAACCAGTTGTCACAGCACTATTTCCTGACTAGCTATTCATCCTCTTCCAGCTTAACTGAATGTCACTCTATCATATACTAACTACATATGGGTATCTGCTGTCCTCCGGGCTTTTTATTTCATCATATATGTCTATGTTTAAGATTCGCCAGGAGGATGAACCAGCTTTTGGCACTTTAAAATATGTTTAAATGTCTGGCAGTGCAGATTTTCTCTCCTTTGTCTTATGCATTATTTTTAAAAATTAATTCTTACCCCCTTATTACTTAACGTGAATTTTTCATTTATTTTCAAATATTAACTATGAAAGTAATAAGGGCTTTTATTTCAATATGAAAACTACTGAATTTATTGGAGATTATTTACATAGGAGTTCTTTCCATTCAAAAGTATTGTATAGCCATCTATACATATCCTTTAATAAAGTGTAGATTTTTAGAAATTAAGTCCAGTATGTATTTTCAAAGTTAGACCTAAATATATTATCTATATTACTATCATGAACAGAGTCTTTTTAAAAATTACTTATTTAATTTTATTTATTATCAGTATTATTTTTATTTTCATTTGACGAGAGAGAAAGAGAGAGAGGAAAAATGAGAAAGCAAGCTACCAGATCCAGGATTCAAACCTCATTTGACCATGTGGGAATCCAGTGCCTCAACCACCACACCACCTGCTGGCCCTATGAACAGAATCCTTTATAATTAAATTTTAAATAGTTTTTCTTGATGTTTAGAAACTTTGATTTTTTTTTGAAAATATGCCTTTTGTATCTGGATTCACATTGAAGTCTCTTTGATTCATTATTTTTTCTCTTTAAATCTATTTTCTTTTACATATAATAAATATTCTGGGAATGTTTTCTTATACATACATTATAAATTTTGGTACTTACCTTTTTACTGTTGGCAGTTTTCTAAGTAATAAATATGTTTTGTACATGTACTGGGGACTTCATAAAGTTCATAGAAAAATGGAGTTAAAATATGTTTACTTTGGTGCCATAACACTTTGAAATCCATGCATAGTTTCCTTATAATTTTCATTTCTCATGAAATTTTTGAAAATCCCTCATGCATATATCATATATAAGGTCTACCCAGAAAAGGATTATATTGTATGTTGTTTTGTAACTCAACTATATATGCCACAATATTTTAAAATCTTCATTTCAAATAAGAAATACAGTTCTAGGGGCCAGCAGGTGCATGGTGGTTAAGGCACTGGACTCCCACATGGCCGACTACAGTGTGAGTCCTGGACCTGGTGGCTTACTTTCTCAACTTCCACCCCCATGTCTTTCTCTGATGAGAACACATGTCCTATAGCAAATTCAAAAATAATTAATTAATTAATGATTCTTATAAAAAAGAAATACAGATTCAGTTTATTTTCTTATGGCCACATAGTTTTCCACTGTAGAATGTGCCTTTGTTTTTATTGTGCAATTACTTACTATTTTATATTATTAAAAACAACATTGTGAGACTAAATGTATTTTCTTAATGCAAGTCCTTGAAGTGGTGTTATTTCATTCAGAGACAGAAAAAGAGGGAACAAGAACTCACACCCTGGAGCGATGGCCATGCTACAATCCCTTCACCTTCATTTTCCTCTCAGGATTTTGGGCCTAAATACACTTGACCAGCATCATTTTCAAGCCACCATGTCTAAGACTTGAACCACAGAGTTGGTCATTTGGAATCCAGCATCTTAACCTCCGGGCTACCAGCTGATCCAAGTATCCACATTATTTAAAGCCTTTTAATACATGTGCCAATTTGCTCTGCAGAAAATGGCACTCCTATGGAATGCCTATGCTAGAACCTAATACAGAGACTGACCGACATATGCTGGTGTCATTCGAATGCTCCTTTCTCAGATTTATGTGAAAGACAGAGACCCAGTTTTAAATTGAATTTCCCTATTAGTGAGACTGAATCTTTTTTCCAACTTCTTTCTTGACTCCTAATTAAAATATTTTGGATTTTTATCTATTTTTTATCTGTGAGTGGCTCATTTTCTTATTGATTTACAAATTCTCTGTATGTGTTAATATAACTTCTTTAACTGCCAAGTGTGTGACAAATATCTTTTCTCAGCATTGTGCTCACCTTTTAGATTTGTTTAATTGAATAGTTCAATTTAATCTACTGGGTCCTCAGGAAAGCTGTGACACATTTTTGCATAGGAAAATATGAAATATGTCATGACTGTCCTGACGACCTAATATTTTTCTTTCCATTTCCATTTATAACTTTTTTTTAGAGGTTTTTGCTATAGGGCATATGCGCTCACCAGACAGAAAGAGACAGAGAGTAGGGAGAGACAGAAAGCGAGAAATCACCCCCCGGGGGGGATGGCCACATCACACTCCCTTCTCCTCCTTTCTCCTCTTGGGATCTTGGGCACGCACGCACACGCGCCCGGCGTGAATTTTAAGTCACCGGGTCCGGGATGTGAACCGCGGTTGACTACGTGGGCGTCCAGCAACATAGCCGTTATGCTAACTGCTGGTCCCTCCATTTATAACTTGTTTTCATCGCTTATAAGTTCTAAGACTTTTGCCTTTTAGAGATAAAGTACCTATTTAAAGATGCTCTTTGTTTATTGAAGCAGTTGCGCCAGACAGGGTTCAGTTTTGCAAACCTAGTTCCCTGTTGGATCTGGCCTCCAAGTATTCATGAGGTCCTGATAGCTGGTCTTATTTTTATTGCCACTAGCTACTCCACCAAAAAAACAGTACTGCATTAGCAGAAAATATCACCATATACCAGATCCTTTGTTTGGTCTGGCCAAGCTTGCCAGGGGCCTCTGAGAACAGTGATCCAAAACAGT